CTTCTCCAGGAGCTGCTTCATGTAGCTACGGATGTGCGCCATGTACGAGTTCTTGTCGTAGTTGGTCTCGGTGTAGCGGTTGTTGTGCACCACATCAATGACCTGCTTCTTGGAGTCATCGACATCGCCCACCGCGCCCTCGCCGGCGTCCTCGTCCACGTTGGCCGAGATGCCGTAGTCCTCGCCGCCCACCTCAATGTAGCTGCCCTTCAGCATGTACACAATGTCGCCCTCAACTTCCACGGGCCTGTCGTTGTCGCAGAAGACCTCGGCGTTTGTCAGAGCGTCCTTGAAGATCCTCATCTGCAGGTTCTTTCTTCGGCTGTGCTGTGCTGTGTGTGTGTGTGTGTGGAGTGCGCCTGAGCTCTGGAACTGGCAAGAGTATGCTTGAGGGGACACCAAAGACAGGAGAGACGCACACAGAGAAAGAAAACAAATAAATACATGGTGACCAAAAGAGCCCGCCACCGACAGCCAGAACACGGGCCTACCTCTTTTCTTGAAGCGAATGACACTGGCGGTGCGCGCCCCGAACGAAGAAAAAAAAATGTTTTCTACACCGTACACTCAGACACTACCCGCGCAGGTCTCTGCGCCATCCATTTCAGCGGAGTTGCGGAGGTGCATGTGCGTTGCTACTATCAATGGAATGGCTCAACTGCTATTTTCGTTTCTTTTTTTGTTATGTTTGTGTGTGTGTGTGTTCTTTTTTTTTTCGTTCCGTTTACAGTGGTAATCAAAGCTGGCTTATCAGGTATGTGGCAATTACGCAGGAGGACTACTGCGGGCGAAATACGTCTTGTATGTCGCTGGTAGTGGTGTACACGAGCGGCTCGCCGCGGCTACCACAGGCGCCAAGAATATGTGGAGAATTCGGATGGAATGCCATCGACAGCACCGCCCCTGTGCGGTACGACCGTGAGACAATCTGCTTGGGTGGTCCAGCCGTGTCGCGCGCATCCCAGAGACTAATATTGCCGTCCTTACCTCCCGCGGCAAGCAGGCCGGCGACGTGCGGCGAGACGGCAAAGGTGGTGTCGGCCTCGTGCAGCTGCATCTTCCACAGGGGCTGCGCATTCATGCGCGCCTCAAACGCCATCCACTCGCCTGTGTTCGTTGAGGCGTAGAGAATCCTGCCACCATGCGGAACGAACTCCACGTGCTCAACGACACCATTCGTGCCAAATCGTAGCGCTGCCTGGTTGGGGGAGCGACAGTCCCGTAGGACCATTGTCGCGTCAAAGCCACCTGAAAGCAACAGGTTTGCCTCCTCGCGATGCCAGTCAAGGCTTTGCAGTTTATCGGGTTCCGTGTACGTTCCGACACACTTGGAGGTGTTAAGGTCCCACAACTTAATGCTGCTGTCGGCGCTGCCGGAGGCAAGGATGTGCTGCGCACATGTGTTCCACCGGACGCTAATTACAGCGTCCTTGTGCGAGTCGTCCTGCAGCATGCGGGGTTTAATATTTTTCCTGTAGTTATCCTCCCAGTTGACACAGCCGCCCAGTAGGCAGACCGGCTCCACCGCGTCAATGACGTCAAGGCTCCAGAGCTCCACAAATGGGCGCATCGTCCCAACGGCGCAAAGCGACATTGTGCCGTCCGTAAGCCATGCCGTGCTAAGGGGGAAGGCGGCAATCTCCACGTCGTGGTGAACGTACATGATGTCTTCCGGTTCATCATACACGTAGAGCTCCAGCCTTGGCTGAGAATCATCAGCGGAGGCCGCGACAAAAACAACGTCCGTTTCTTTGAAGTTCGTGTCGTTTACTTCCTCCTCGTCATCTGACTCCACCTGCTCCAAAACGGTGTCGCCGCCGCCACCGCCGCCAAACTGCATAGCGTTCACATTGTCACCGTTCTCGCCATCGCTGCTGCAGTCTTCGCCCCCCGCCAGTGGTTCAGTTCCGCCTGCTGACGCCACCACCTCCTCCGTCACGTATTCGGGGTTCTGCCGCTGCAGCTTCGCCCGCACCGCCTCCAGGCTCTCCGTGGAGTGGAGTGGGACGGGCTTCATAGCACCCTTCGGCACCCACGAGAAGGAGGTCAGCATCCGTGTGGGTCTGGGAGCAAGTACGGGGGCTCCGCGAGTCCTTTCTCAATTCCTTTTCTTGCACTTCTCGCGGTGGGAGAGGCAGGTGGAGGAGGATAGACAAATCAACAATAACAGTACAAAGAGCCAACGCGGGAAAAACAAAGAGAAGACCCACCCGCTTCAATGCTTCCACAACGTGCTGCACATCAGCTATTTTGTTTTTTTCTCTCTTCCTCTTGCTTCTCATCGCCAGTCACCTACAACTTTGACGGCAGATTTCTCCTCACCCGTGCCTTAAGTGATGCGAATCTCCGTCGCACCTCGGAGGTGACATGACCTCTTGTTGTTTCCGCTTTGTTCCTGCTACCGCCGGCATTGCCGGCCACTCCCTGCTGTCTCACCACACCGGTAGTCATAGGCTGTCCAGCGTTCTGCCTGCCCGTTTGCTCCGCCGCCTCCGAACGATTAGCGGTGTTTCCATGGTTCACCTCGCTGGCTGTGATCCCCGCGGCAAGAGTGGAAAGTGGATTCTGCAGAATGAAGCGCTGTAGCCCTTTCAAGGCGTTCAGCTGGGCGCTCAGCACGAAGTTGACCACAGCGGAGGGGATGTGACCCATAGGGTGCACAAGGGCGACATAACTAACGTGGCACTCCATATCGCCCTTCGAGTTAAGCACCGAACGCGCTAGAATGCCTGAAAAAAGCATAAGCGCCCGCACGTAATTGGACTGGCAGGGATCGAGCGGCTCCACATATCCGAGTGGAGTAGAAAACGCCTTGACCCACACCGTTCCGTCACGGCGCACCTCCTCCGCCACCACCATCTCAAAATCTCTGTTCTGCACGAGAGGGATTGAGGTACGTACTGCCATATAGTACAACGCAACCCGTCTCTGCCCGGGCTTCAGTTGGAGTTCCACCACACTGTCGACATCCGCAATGTCAGCGTCTCCTGAAATCCCGCCCGGACGTGGGAGGATCCGCACAGCGCGCAACTCTGCGATATGCCTGTCCCACCTTCGTCGCGTGGACACGTTAAGGTACGCCAATACCTCGGCAGGTCGGCACGGCAGCCCCACCTCTGCGCGCATGAGATGCACGGGGCATTCTTCAATGGGCCGGCTGTGGAGTGAGATGCCGCAGGCGGCATCCTGCGCGATGGGTTTGAAGCCGGTCTCAAGCGCCCCCGCAAGAAGAAGCCTCTCCACGTCGGCGAAGTTCACCGCCTCGCGGTAGAGGTCACCGTCGTTGTCGGGAACGCGTGCCTTGTGGGGTGCGGAACCTAAGGGGAACATGGAATTGGAAAGCCGCCGTGCAAGGTACGCCATTACAGTTTTTGTGGGGATAGGAAGGGCGTCAGCTTCCTCGCGTCCTCGCTCAGTGAAACAGAGCCAAAGCACCCCCACCCTCCCCCCCCAAAGAAAAAAAACAAGAGGACCAATGCGACTCACTCAGCCTCCGCAGCCCCACAGACACACACTCACACTCCCTAGTGGGAGGAAAACCTAAACAGAGAAGACAAAAAAGAGTAAGAGAATAAAGCAAACAGCAACGGCTGTTGCACCTGCGTAGGTACGGGGAGTGGCGCGGCGCAGCACATGACCAAGGAAAAAAAAACACAGAAACAATGACGCACCACCCTCGCTGTGCATCTCACGCACGCACCAGCGCAATGGTTCGCCAACATACCCGTCACCGTCAGCAGCAGCAGCAGCAGCAGCAGCGACACACAAAGACGCGGCATATTTATATATATATATATAATATAAATAAAAAAACGTTACACGTACTGCATCATTCATGCTAGCGCATGTGAAATATTGTGTTTTGCTTCGCTCATTTTTCTTTCCATTCCGTGCTTTTTTTTTTTTTACCTTCCTTTGCTCCATGGCTCACATAGCTGCTGATACCTTTTCCTCACTAATGTGAGGGATTTCTTTACATTGTGTTCCCCGCATGTGTGATTTGCTGCTGCGGCACCCCAACCGACAGAGGCTTGAGCATCCAGGCAAAACTGGCCTTAGCCTCAGTGGGGAGAACGCTCGGCTGCGGGAACACGACAGGAGTGAGTACATGACGCGCCGCTACACGCGGCAGGGAGCTTCTTTTCTCGCTGCGTCGCTTCGCCTGTGTCTTTTTGTACTCCTCCATCCTCTCCGCGAGCCTGCGTCGTGTCTCGAGGGCTAATTTCAGCTCGCCGCTCTCTGTCCGGCTTCGCCCGCACTTGGTTTGCCGAAACCCCAGGCGCGTGTCTCCCATAAGCAGCTCGTTGGCATCTCTGGTGAGTTCGCCGTTGGCAAAGCCCTTCGGCAGCACTGCCTCTAAACGTCGTACCATACCCAGCAGTACTTGCTTCTTCCTTTGGATCAGCTCGAACCCTGTCGAGGAGGGTGGGCAAAGACTGGTGTCTTCGCGCGGGGTTTCGCTCTGTTGCTCGGCTGCCTGTTGTTCCGTGGTGAGCAAGAGTAGGGCATGGGTTGGGCTTGAAGTTGGACTTGAAGTTGGGCTTGGGAGCGCTCCACATACCCGCGTGCGAACCTGCAAGCATCGCCCAACGCACGACGGCCCCGGCGAGACGTGTTCGGTGGTTCGCGGCAGAAGGCAGCCACCCTCCGGCAGGGTTGAAAGCAGCGACGCGCCCTGCTGTTCCTGTGCGCGTTGCGTGGGCTGCAGCTGTCTGGTGCTGTCCACGGAGGAGGCAATTGAAAAGGAGCGCTTACGCGCATGTTCCTCTTGAGGATGAGCGACGTCTGTAAGGAAAAAGGGCCGCGTGACAGCTATCTTCGGTGAACCCATCCCAGAGAGGGGTGTTCCCACCTTTGCGCCTCTACGCGACAGCCCACGGGGCAGGGTATTGTCCTCATCCACCAGTGAGTCCATGGCATTCTTGACATTGTCAGGTTGCAGCTCTGCGCAAATAATACTCTCCAGCAGGACTTCCTCCTCCGCGGTGTTGGCCACCAGAAGACGTGGCGTTACGGGGGGGGATTCGCTGAATGTCGTGGGATCTGAAAGCTTCCATGTTTTGTGGCCAACGACCCCGACAAACCGCACAGAGGCCTGCGTGGATCGCAACGGCATCACGCTGGAGTAGGGAGCCTGCAGCCAGTTCGCATCGTCCAGGTCAAAGAGGCGCACCAGGTGGTCCAGGGAGCCCACAAGGAGGTACCGCCGCCCTGAGAAATAAAAATAGTCCAAAGAAGTGATCTCATCCGTGGCGCCCTGAAACATTGCACGCGAGATGAAGGCCTGGCGAAACTCCACCGAAGGAGAGGTGCAACCTCGCACATCAAGCACGCGAATGCGGCCCAAGGAGTCCCCACAGACGACGCTGCCATCCTCCGGGATGTACAGCACCTTGTGGATACGACACTCAAAGCGCCGCACCAGGCGAATACGGTACACGACGGCCTGATTGACGTAGGAGTACACAAAGAGAATACCAATGTCGAGGATGGCGAGGAGAAGGTTTTGGTTTTGCTCGTTCAAGAAGATGAGTTGCACAACGGCCCCCCGTTCCTCTTCCGTCTTGTCGCGTAGAACGCAGTCGTGCGTGGGAGCCCCACCGCGCATGCTGAAGAAGAATATCCTGGCGTCACCTGTACCCATGCAAAGGTACGCGTCCCGCACAACGCAGCAGGCAGTGACGGAGGCCAGCGATGGGACACGCACGACGACTGACTTACTCTCCTCTAGGCCACTAGGAAGCAGCAGACCAACGTTGAAGGTTGTGACACGGCACACACGCGCACTCCACGCGATCAATTTATTTCTATGCGACACAACCGTTACATCCGAGTCCAGCTGCTCGGAAAGGTCCTGTACCAGCATCTCTGCCGCGAGCGGGGCGGCCGTGGATGGATCCCAGGTGAGGACCGAACCATCCTGACCTCCCGTCGCTAGTCGTGTCTGTAAGGTCGTCGTCCACGAGCAGGAGGTGACGGTGGCCCGTTTCACAGGCATGCGTTCCATACGCGCGATGCGGGGGATGTTCACGTTTCGCTTCAGCTCACCTGTCGTCAAGTCCCATGTGCGCCAACACACCTCATCAAATGTGTGCAACTGCCACGACTGCCGATGTACAACCATCGCCACAACTCCGCCACGGTGGGTATCCATACGTTGTGTTCCCACGAAACCTACTGAGCCCTGCATTTTTGGCTTATCCTTGATGTCCATGTTGAGTTCCTGGGAGTAGCCAGTGGATGATGCCTCTTGCTCGTCCCCACGTGTCGTGTGCCCTGACCCCTCACTAATCTCGGCCTGCATGTGACCCAGTGACGGCTCATAAACGACTGTTCCCCGAAGACAACAAATGAGACACGAATGAAGCGGGTGCCACGCCACAACACCATCTTCGTCAATGGCGGAACGCTCCATCATCTGCTGTGAGGCATCAGTCGCGGTAAAGTTCGACTCCCGCGCCGGCTGCGCAATGGTGGCCAGCGACCTACTGCCATGTGTCTCATACACCTTAATGGTTTTGTCCGAAAGTAAGAGTGCAAGCCGATTTCGTCGTGGGTGCAGGGCCGCACTGACGATCCCCTGCGTCTCGGATGGGAACTCAAACAGTGGATCGCCGTGGCGCCCAATCACCCACAGGGCGACCCGCCGGTCCACATGAATTGTGACGTAAAACTTTGACGGCGGCCACCACTGCATCGCACGAATCCCTCTTGTCTGCTGGAGAACAAGGCGAGCCTCCCCTGCAGGCTTTCCTGTCGGACCCAGCGGAGTGCGGTAGATGCAGCCATCCGCCCCAGCCGTAAAAAGCGAGGTGACGTAGGATGTGTAGAACATACCCACCACCGCCGCTGTGTGAACCTCTGCCGAGAAAAGCAGTGGCACGGGTTTGCTGTTCGCCCCGGCCAACAGAGAGCTTGGGCGCACGTCAGCGGATATGTCAAAAGCCCCAACAACACCGTCTACGGTGCCGAAAAAGAAAATCCCCGAGAAGTTGTCGAACCACGACGCGGTTGGAGCTTCAAACCCCACGACCGGCTTTGCGGGAAGCACCTTTGAAAAAGTGTGGTTCTGCGTCTCATGACGACGACGGTGATACTCTTCCGCCGACTCATCTTTGCGCAGCGTCACATGATACATCCCGCACTCCCCCGGCTTCATCCCATACCGATAAACTTTCGTCGCGGACAGCTGCAGGACCTCGTAGAAAGCCGTTTGCAGGGAGGCGCATCCAAGGTACTTCTGCAGCACGTTCCCCTCAGGAAAATCTAACACCGTCAACTGGCCGTTTGTCGTCGCGATGAGAATGTAGTCCTCATCTGGCAGCAAAAACATTCCAATCACCCATGCCGCCCCCGCATTGTAGAGGTTGCGCATAAATTCACCAGTGTTCCCATCCCACAGCTTCACAATACCGTCCTTGCTGGCCGTGATGACGCAGCCTGTCAGGCGGGATACTAGGATTTGATCTGCGGACTGTACATGCAGCTCCTTTCCGGTGAGTGCCTCGGACTCCGAGTCTTGCCTGATCCCTGGCACGTTTGACGAATTCCCCTCCGCACCATCCCTGCCATGCGAAAAATGCGGGTGCGAGATACGCCCAGAGGTGGTTCCCGCCCGTACGCGGGTGAAAGACAACTCCTTTTCGTCACTCTGGTGAAAGCGTTCATAGTCCTTCACAAAGTTTGTGGTCAAGTCACTCCACCGCACAATCTCGTGTTGCGTGGGCCCCTTCCGCAGCGAGACGGTATGTATGGAGGGTAAGTTGTAATTTAACAGCATGCGAGCCACCGAGCGTGATCGATCCAAGCACCCTTTTCGCGGTTTGCTCTCAGCCCCAATACCACTATTGGCGGCACTGGGAGTGATGTCGACAGTAGTGGTAGACTTAACCTGCGGCGAGGTTCTAAACGACGTCACGGTGTGCACAGAGTTAGTCCTCGTGGTACTACATGTGCTGCGTTCGAGGCATGCAATCCCGACGTTACTCGCCTCACAAGCCTCCCACAGCGGGTCATGCACGGAGACCTGGATAGAGAAGGAACTGACCCACCGCAACACTTCCTCCCTATACACACTCATTTTGTCCTCATTCAACAGCTGCATCTCGCTGTTTACCACATCCTCAAGCTCCACGCTGCTGGAGGCAAATCTGGCCTTCTCCTCGAGAATCTCCATGATGTAGTGGATGAGCCACTCCTTCGTGAGTGCAGGATCACCATCGCTGGTGATGCTCCGCGCTGCAAAGCGCTCCCCCAGCCGCAGGACTTCCTCAACACCAATGAGAGGACCCCACGAGAGGGTGGAGGACAGAATCTGGTTGGGCACATAACGTGTCGCCAGACGGGCCCCAAGTGTCACCTCATTCCTTGGCGTTTCCATGTGCGTGTTTCTCCCTCTCTGTCACTCTTTCTATCCCCCCTCGCCTCCACCCCGCCTTCCCTGTTTTGTGTTTGATTCTTGCTCCCTGTGTGTTTCCCTCGTGCTGCGATTGATGTTGTGTGATGGAAGGCGCTGTACAGCCCCCCTTACCCCCGAAAAAAAAAAAAGAGGTAAAAAAGAAAGTCCTCTCTTTCCAACCTTCACACGAGACCCTGCCCTACCACTCGTCATGCAAAGCGTTTTGTACGGAAAATACGTGCGTGCTATACAAAAAAAAATAGGAGGGTTAGATGCTGGGCAGCGTGCTGAGGCAGGAGAAATGCACACCGTCCCTGAGACACCTGTGTGTGCGTGTGTGTGCCAGCAACGAGACATAAAGAAAAAGAAAGAAACCAAAGAATGCGATGCATTTTAGGTCCATATGCATACATGCGTTGGGTGTCACACAGACATCTCCTCCGCCATGCGCAGCCGTGAATGGGAGGAGCGGAAGCGGTTCATGAACTTCTTCTTGAACGCCACATCGTTGGGGTGCAGAAGCACCGCGTCAAGGGCCTCCCTGTTGTGCAGCAGATACCGCATCTCCTCCGCCCCACCCGCACACTCGCCATGAAGGAAGAGCAGCGGGAACACCGCACGATTGTCGTACCGGCGTAAAACGGCCCTGCAAAGAAGACGCCGGCACGCATCCGCATCCTCCACTGAGAGCGATTTCACAAAGGTCTCCGCCTCTTCCGCGGGCGATGTAGCAGTGAAGGTCGTGGGATTAAACTTCGCCGCTGCGTCCCTTTCCTTCGTGCGCACCGCCGCCTCACCGAGATCGTCCTGCGGCTGCAGCATTGCAACCCCTTTCACCACTCCTTGCCGCACCGCCTCCTGGAAAAGTTGGGTGAGCCGCTCCAGCGACAATATATGGGGGACAATGCGGCGCTGGGAAAAGGCCTTTAGCCACTTCTCAATGAAGGCGCGCTGCCGCTCCAACTCTCCGTTCGGTGGCGGTGCCGCCCCGTAGTGGACAGCCTTCGCATCGTTATTCGCCCCGTGGAGCACCACCACAAGGTGTGGACGTAAGACGTGCTCACGAAGCCACTGATGCACGCGCTCCGCGACCACGGCGTCCCGCTCGGCGGCGGCAAACTCAACCTCCGGTATGGCCTCCGACGCCTGCACCAGATGGGCGGACAGGAGGGACTCTGACTGCCGTTCATTGATGGCGCGAACAACACGCTTCATGCGCTCCTGCAGCTCCGCAGTAGACGGTGCCTGCTCTGGCGCCACACACACACCACACACCTTCTGAACGCGGTTGAAGCGGGTGACGTCGAAGCGGCCGCCCCACGCCACAGAAAGTCGCACCGCCACTACGGGAACATCGAGCGCCCTCGCAAGCACCGCACGGTACTGGTCGCGCAGCCGGTACTCGTAGTGGGCGAAGCCAACCAAAAAATCGGGGCTAACGTTGCCGTCTCTTGGAAGCGGGGGTATCGGCGACTCAAACACCGCCTGAATGCGTTGCAACCGCTCCTCATAAAGTTTATCGAGAGGCGTGCGCCCCGTCGCTGCGTCCACTTGCTCGTAGGACCAACCTTCCGTCGTCGTCGTCGTCGTCGTCGTGGATGTGAAGCGCGTCGGGCATAAGAGTCCTCCGCGGTACGGCGTTCCACTGCCTCGCCGGAGGAGGAATAGTGACGATAGCAACCGCGACGGCACCACCCCAGCTTCTGGTGCTCGCAGCACCGGCCTCCACGCCATGGCGCTTTGCCGCCCCCGCCCCTGCCCAGTAAAAGCTTTCCGCAGAGAATAACAGCCGCTGACCTGCAGGAGCGTCCAATGCCCGTCGGTTGTACCTATATCTCTCCTGAAGACGGAAATTCTCCTCCTCCAAAGAAACGAAAACGAAAACAACAACAAAAAATAGGGGCACAAATAGCGAAACCCACAAATAAACCATTCTTACAAACCAATCCAAAAATAAAATAAAATACAGTCATGCATACATGCAATGCAATGTGCACACATACACGTGTATGTATGTACGTCCTTTCTATTTCCGCTCTTTTATGTTCCACTTCGCCTCTCTTGGCCCTGCAGCCGCGTTTGACCCTCGCCCCCTGTTTTCACTCCACTAACAATTCGAGCCTCTTCTTTATCGCGGCTTGGGCTCTCGCGCGACCCACCATTGGAAACACCTGCGATACGACGCCTTGATCCATCACGACCACGCGCGTGCAGAGGGTCTCAAGGGTTTGCACGCTGTGGACAATAAGCAGAACGGTGCAGTCCAACAGCTCATCGGCCAGAACCCGCACTATCGCGCTCTCCGTTTCCGCGATGCCAGAGCCGGGCAACTCGTCAAAAAGTAGAAATTGCGGCTTCCGCAGCACGGCACGTGCCAGACAGAGAAGTTGCCGCTGCCCTGGAGAGAGTCGGACGCCGCCGGCTCCCTCTTGGTGCAATGCCGCGTCCAGGCCACCGTACTGGGCGGCGATGGTATCAAGGCCAACAGCGTGCAGTGCAGACCAAAGCCTCCCGTCTGGCACCGTCTCCGAAGTGCCTAGCTGAAGATTTGTGCGCCAGGTACCCTTCACGACAAGTGGATCCTGCAGCACCAGTATGAAGCACTGCCGAAGCACGGGGTACGGCATCAGACTCGCATTAATGCCACGCACGTACACGCCGCCCCCCTCAATGACGTCAACAAGTCGCAGCAACACATTAAATAGCGTCGACTTGCCGTTTCCTGATCGACCAATGATACCCACCCGCTCCCGCTCATATATTACCAGATTCACATTGCGTAATGCGTACGGGAGGGAGACGCGGTACTTCGCTGACACGTTTATCAACTCCACAACCGGTCTCAGCATAACTTCTGCGCCAGCCTCAGTTGCCACCATTTTTGTCTGCTGCTCAATGGAAAGGGACTGGGGGACACATAGACCCCCAAGTGGTGTGAAATCGGTATTCTGCTCCCCCGCACGGCTGTCAACTGTTATGGACGTCGCGGGCAACACCGTGAGCGGCTCCTCGGGTGCCTCCTGCAACTCCAGAAGCTGCTCCACGCTCACAAACTGCAACTGGAAGGCACTGGCACTGCGGCACAGCAGCAGCAGTGTCGTGGAGGTCTGCAGACAGGACACCAGAGCAACGGCGGCAAACGCCGGTGGCATGAGGTACGCAGCGAAGAACACCCCAAGGAGTGCAGCCGCTGTTGTCATGAGCACCGTGATGAGTTCGAGTCGCAGCCCCACCCAGCAGTCGGCCATGTGGCCAATCATGCTCGCCGTGTTTGCCACGTCCATCGCCTTGCAGAACTCCTCGCGAAAGCTGTCCTTCAACCCCATGCAACGTATGACAGGGGTGCCATCAAGCGCCTCACGCAAAATAGCAACAGGGCCGCGAACCGATCGATTCTCAAGGCGACGCAGTCGTCCGACGACGGTCAAGTACAGCTCCACCACGTGATAGAACATCATGACCATTAGTGGAATAATCGCCAGAAACCACGGGTTCACCACCGCATTAAAGAGCGCGATGGCTAACATCCGTAAAACACCAGTGGTGATGGCGTCAAGGGACTCACCAACGCTGTGGTCGGCAGTTTCCTGGTCGCGGGAGAATATCCCAGTGATGGTGCTTCCGGAATTCGCATCAAAATACGAAACAGGAGCACTAAACATGCGCTCAATCGCCAGAAAATGGATGTGGTTGATTGAGCTCCGCACGGCGTAAAAAAAGACCCGCATGCGCGGGATGGTGCACAGAGCGGCGGTGCTTCCAATAAGAAAATACAGCAACAGGAACACCACGGAACTAGTAGGCTTTGTTGAGATCCAAAGACTCAGCCACACGTCTTTGCCCACCTGCAGTACGTGCTGTGCCACACTAGTAAGCAAAAGCCAAAGTAAACCGGGGCCCATAAAGGAAAGGAAACGTTGCAGGTAGGCGGATCCATGCTTGAGTTGGCTGCACCCCAGGCCGTGCGTGCTGCCACTATTATTGGGGAAATCGCCGCTGCTCGCATCACCCTCATCAGCGTCTTCCTCATCGGACTCGCACTCGCTGGACACCGCTGGTTCCTCGCACTCCACCGCGTATAGGTGCGCCGACTGCTGCGCACCCATCGACTCCACAACCGTACCGTCCTGGTGAATTGTGAAGAATCGACTTGGCTTTAACCGAGCAAGGCCAACGTACGTGGCGAGAATAACGGTGCGGTTCCGCAGGATACCATGGAACACTTGATCAATGATATGTGACTGCAGACGAGCATCCAGATAGGCAAGAACGTTGTCGAGCACGTACACGTCTGCGCGTGAATACAACGCACGCGCCAAGGCCACACGTACTCGCTGCCCCGCAGAGAGTTGCATGCCCTTGTCCCCCACCACCGACTCATCACCCTTAGCAAATGTAGCAAAGTCTTCGTGGAGGGCGCACGCCTGCGTGACGGCGTGATACCACCGTGCGTTGTACACACTGCCTTGAATAATGTTTCCCCGTATTGTGTCGTTTTGTAGCCAAGGTGTCTCCGAGCAGTAGGCGGAGCGTCCAAAGACGGCAAAGCCGTCCGTGGATTGCTTAACAGCCCCAAATTGAACACGCGTTCCCTGCGTGGTCACGTTGGGGAAAAAGGGAGGGATATAGACACTCGCAGCGGCCCCGTCAGGGTTCAACGTTGTGGGAGATTTATCTTCGGCGGAAATTGCTGCTAAAGCGGTGGTAGTGCAACAGCAGTTTACTTCGCCGAGTATCGCCAGCAGCAGCGTACTCTTCCCTACGCCGAGTGAGCCTTGCACCACCACCAGCTCCCTAGGCTTTAAAAACATGTTTACATTCCGCAACACGGGCGTTGGGGGCTCACGGGTGCCGTCGTCCTGCCATGTGAAGGAGCAGCCCTGACAAATAACAGTACCGCGCCTGTGCGACCAGTCCGCCGTCACGTCGACCCACGTGCCCAAGAACTCATCTGGGGCCTGTTGAAGATAGGCCTCAATGCGTCGAAATGACGCAAACCCACGTGGAATGGCTGCCACAAGCACCGGCCATTCATTAACGGCAGCACGCAAAAGATTTAGTACAACAAGTGCTGGTACCACCACGCGCGCCGTGAGCGGCCTGCCAGTGAGGTAGTAAGCTGTATAGCAGGCAGATGTGAGCAGCACCCCGATCCCGTCTGCCAGGCAGGCCGAATGTGTTACTGCCTGCATGGCGCCAACCTCATCTTTTGTTTCAGCCTGACGTGCGAGGTGGATACCGTTAAGATACATATGTTCTGCGCCCATTGCCTTCACCTGTCGCATATAGGCCACAGCCTCTCCGACGAGCTCCACCCGGTCCGCCGTACGGGACGTGCACCGCTGCTGTGTCACCTGCACCTCCCTCCCCGCCTCTAGCTGTAGCGGGGCCGCAATAATAATAATGAGCAGCGCTACGAGAGTCGGAACGAGGCCGACGTGCATGTGTAAAATGTAAAGTGAGGCAGCCGCAAAGCACGGGCACCTCCAGGATTGATGCAGCTGCATTAACGTTTGACTGCAGCGTGAGGCGTCAACTGTAATAAGGTGAATGACTTCGCCTTTCGTGAGGGTGCGCTGCGCCAACGGCAACGCCAGAGACTTCTCCAGCACCAAGGCTCGGATCGCTGTACCCACCTCCAGAGAGGAGAGATAAAGTTGACTGAAGTACTCCTGCCGCAGCACTGCGTGTCCCAGCAAGACAAAAAACAAAATTCCACACACGCCAATGGGATGCATCTCCCCCTCCGTACCCTCCCTTTCTATGGCGAGAGTAAGGTGGTACACAATAGTCGAGGTTGAAAGGATCAGCGCATCCGAAATAAGACGTAGCGGCACGCACGAATATAAGAACCTTCGCCCACTGCGGTGCTCAAAGAAAAGCGTAAAAAGTCCCACTTCTGACGAAGGTAAAGTTGACCGCAATTTGACCGCCGCATCCAACAATGCCGAGACACTACTCCTGCGTCTCCTACTGTTGTTGCTGAAACCGTCCGTTTTTTTGTCGGTCACCTCGTCGACTTCCGACACCTCCGCCTCACGCTTCTCGCTAAGGAAGATGCTTACAAATGTCTTGCAAAACAACCAGCGTAGTGGCGCAATTAAAAAAAGGAAAACACCATCCACAAAGAACGCCTCGGTCGCCTTGGCCGCAGCTTTGCCTCCGTCAACGGGCGACGCTGACGAATAGTGATAAAGGTCCCATCGTCGGAGCTGCCATCGCCGGCCTCACCATGTGCGCCGCTGATGTCGGGGCCCTCTCTGTCATATCCCTCCTGTGCCTTACCAAACCACTGCCAACGGTTTACCCAGAGCTGCCACGCCGGTGTGACGATGTTGTGCAGCGACGTAAACTCCTCTGGAAGGGAAGGAAGGAAGCGCTCATGATGCAGCACCTCAACGTCAATAGCGCCAAAGTTCATCAGGGGGGTAAGCCAATTGTACGTCCACCGCGCCATCCAGCCAGCATCCTCAAACGATGGGAACGCGTTGCCAGGGCGGAACTCGTCTTTTCCATCGTAAAGGGGATCATACGGCGGGCGCTCCTCTTCGGGTTCGTTGGTCAGCATTGTACCGTACGACGGCACCATGCTGCGATTTCGTCTTCGCTTCCGCGGCTTCTGCAGAAGCGCCTTGCCGGGGTTGGTGAGCGGCATGCAAGCACGGGTAGCCCCAATCTGCTGAGCCCACCCCACCTCCTCCTCGTCATCGCCGTCGTCGTCGTCGTCGGTAGAGAAGGGCCCAAGTTCAGCGGAACCGCAGCCCGTTGTGTCCAAGACACCGCTGCCGGTTTCCATGTCATTGAAAAGCCTGCGACAGCGATGACGCTCCGCCGGCCGCGGAAGAACAGGCAGCGGCATCGCCGTCGCAATTGCGGTACCAACAAGCGTCCTGTCTGTCGTTCCCTTCTCAGTGCGAGTATTATCGTTCACACGCCCACGCCTCTCTGCGGTCTCGGTCGAGATTTCCCACTCCTCCCCGCAGAGAGGGCAGCGCCGGCATCCATCGGTGACGGCGAGCATGCGAACACCGACGATGGCGTCCAACACCCGTTGAAGGCTCAGTACGAAAAGCATGGTGATAATGACAAGAAAAATGACAGTGGTACAGAAGATAGTTGTCTCCAGCGTGGCGGCGTAGGGAAGCATGTGCTCCGCTGGGGTCAACTCCATCTGCTGAGGCGGCGACATGGTCTCCACACCACTTCGATTGAACACGTGAAACGTGACGCTTCCGCCCGGGTGTCGCTTGGCAAACGGCACCCACGGATATGGGAACTGTGGGGATAGTGCAGCGAGCCAGAAAAACAATGCAAAGGAAGAGGTGTGCTGAACGTACCAGAGCAATTCTAAGCCACCGAATATGAGCTGCAGCAGAGCGATGTATCCGTTAAGCCGACCGCACGTTAGCAAAGCGACGACGCAGAAGAAACCAATCAGGTAAAAGTAGTAATACGTCAGCAACCATAGCGGAGAGGCCCCCCACATACGCAGAAAGTCCCCAGACGTGGGGTTCGTTGTAGGCAGCCTCGCCTCATACTGGAGCTGCAACGGGGCAAGGTGCCCTGGTTGCAGCTCGCTTCGTGTAAAATTAAAGACATCCACCGTCCAGACGCCAACGCCCCGCGTTCCGTTTGCGTCGTTGGCCGTGAGTGCGTAGTCCGCGTTATCCTCATCCCGGAAGAGTAGTGACCGTGCGGTGAGGGGCGCCGCGACGGCGGCGGCAAGCAGGAAGAGGTGCAAGAGATGGTAGGCGAGGGCAAGGACAAGCCCCAGGTGGGACTGCATCCGGTATGACCGCACAAGCCGCCCCAATACGTTGCGGATGTAAAGGCCCACAGTCGACCAGCAACCCCGCCGTGGCGAGCTTGCCGCCAAGAGAAACTCTTTTGACTCCTCTCTGGCCCCGGCCTCGCAGCGGGCAGATGACACCGGCGTGGCGACGGTCCGCATAAGGTGGAGGCTGCGGCCCCAGTCTGGCCCACGCAGCAGCAAAGAAAATCACGGATGAAGAGAGACAAGAACGACACAAGCAAGAGGGAGAAAGGCAGGCAGTGCGCCGAGGGAGCAGGCAGATACGTTTTACTTTGACATCTCCCTACTGAAAAATAACATAACATAAAAGGAAGAATCCCTCTCTGCACACACCACGAGGGGAATGCGGAAGCACCCAAAGACCCACGCACATATACAAAAAATAAAAACAATAATAATGGTAACAATATAGGATGAGAAAGAAAAAAAAACGAGCAAATTTTCCCCCTCCTCCTCTGCTCCCCTATTCTTCTTTAATGTCAGGACTCCCACCTAACCCCGCAGCAACATCACCGGCGCATGCGCTAATTCTTCAAACTTCAAATGCTTTCTTCTTGTTGTTGTTACATAGCTCTGTTTCTTCTTTATTTTTCTCTTCTTTTTCTTGTTGTTTTTTCTCTGTGGCCGTTCCTCTACTGAGCGGCAGGGTAGTAGACATCGGTTGAGCGTGCAGAGCCCGCCGCAGTGGTGGAGAGCGGGGAAACCATACTGCACATAACGGCGCCGCCCAAATTGTTGCACATAATCGAGAAAGCAACTGGAAGGAGGAAAAGACGAATGCTGTGGAAAAAGTACTGACCACAGGAGCACCAGCTACGGATGTTTTCTTTTTTTCCTTTTCCAAAGGCAACAGCAAAAAGCTACCGGCCATCAGGCCGCACGGGACGCGTCCTACTCCATCTCTCCAAGAATCCAGGGGTGCTGCATGAGCTCCTCCACGGTTGGACGCTGCCCCGGATCTCGCACAAAGCACCTACGCATAAAATCCAGGCACCCCGGCGTCGCCTCCGCCTCCGGAATCTCTGTCGGTCCGTCCTTCGCCTGCGCAATCATCATGATGGCAGCGGGCGCGTTCACCTGACTCGGCCACGGTGGCTTGCCTGTGAGCATCTCAGCCACGGTGCACCCCACGGACCAAACATCGGCCTTGTAGCTGTACCCTTCGCCGCTGCCGGTCACGTCTACCACCTCCGGCGCCATCCAGTATGGGGTGCCAATAACGGTCCGGCTCTGTGCCACGGCGTCCGAGAGTCGTCTGGCCGCGCCAAAGTCCACAAGTTTAATTTGCGACTCCAGTTTTGGATCGCTTGAGGTGTCTACAAGAAGGTTATCGCCCTTGATGTCGCGGTGTATAATGCCCTGCGTGTGCAGGTAAAGCAGACCCTTGAGCAGCTGCTGGGTCCAGCTTCGCACCACGGCAGGATGCAATGGTTTAAAAACTTTCACTAAAGAGGACAAGGGCCCACCACCGATGTATTCCATAAACATACAAATGGTGGTACTCGGTGAATCGTAGCACACACCCTTAAAGGTGCAGAGATTCTTGTGATGCAGACGCCGCATAATGTTAATCTCCCGCGACAGGGAGACAAGCTCCTTGACACTGAATACACCTGTTTTCTTCCCAATCTCCACACACTTCACGGCGTAGAAAGAGCCATCGTTGAGTAAACCCAAGTAAACAGAGCCGTATGTCCCACGGCCAATCAACAGACCACGACGCCACGATCGGAGCACAGGTGCGTCGCTCGTTTGCAGCATCTCCGGAGTGATGCCCTCTGGGCTCAGTGTGGCCCACGAACTATATCTTTCCTCCTCCTCCGGCGTCACGCGAATCGTGCTGTCGTCAGCTGCAACGTCTTGCAGGTCGTCGTCAGTTTTCATCGGCAGCTGTGGCAATGAAATGGTCGAGGGTTGTGGTGATACGGCAGCCTTTGGTGCTGTCTCGCCATAGTCGACAACACTGCTAGTGCGGTTGCCGTCGCCACCGTCTTTGCTACCCTCTCCTCCCTCGCGGAAGGTCCCTGTGGTGTCAAGGCCGCCCCTCAATGGAGTGCGTCTATCGTTAACGGAGCACCTCGTCTCTTTTCGCCCGCCCGAAAAAGATTTCTTCTTCGTGCCACACCTGGAGCAGAACTTCGCCGTTAACTTGATGAAATGGGCACCGCAGTGGTGACACATCTGTGCCTCCGCCGCCTGCTTTTTGCAGCCAACGATGCCCTCCGACATGCAGAAAAACGTACGGGTGCACAGAGAGGGGTATTGTACACTGTGACAAGTAAATATATATTATGGCCAAAGTCGGTTTGCAACTGAGACTCGGCACGGGCGTAATGAGAAATTGCGTGATAGGCGCTCACAGTTACCGTGCGGGGAAAGAGAGGAACGACAGGGGAGGAAAAAAAAAAAAAACAGAAAGAAAAAGAAAATAAAGGGGTGTGGTGGATGCATGTCCCCTGCAGGAATGTGAAAGGACTGGGCAAATGACCCAGTGCACAGAGAATACCCGCAGGGAGGGTAGGGAAAAGATTGCCTCAGCCAATCACATACATCATGAAGATGTCACCTCGACTCCGCCGCTGCCACCGCCACCGCCACTACCACCTCGATGCATTGGCACCGCTGCGGAAATCTGTGCCTCTTTGTGCCGCTCGAGCAGACATGCGGCACGTCGCCACTGCGTTGCCTCGCGCTTCCCCACAGGCTCATCCGTGGTGCACCGACGCACCATTCACTGCTGCACTCACTTCGTCCACGTCAATTCCTCCTCTGTGGGGGCAAATGCCGCGTGGCAGGAAGCAAGTTGGGCGGGGTGCACGATCAACTTGCCGTCAAACCCAAGTGAGCAGCTGAGGTGTACGTCACGGCGAAATCCAGCGGTGTCCGAGGCATCATCAAAGGTGCCATCCAAAACGTGCATATTGAAGGCTCTCGCTGCAAGTAACACCTGAAGGCAGTCACTGCTCAGGCCACCCCCACTGGTATCACTGCACGTGACGCCGCCCAATGACAGCTGGAGATCTACCGCAGGCCGTCTTCGGCCCACCACAGCGCACTGGTAGTGGCTCTGGCGGCAGATCTCAGATGCCTGCACGATGGAGAGCGGGGTATCAAAAGAGGCCCAAAGACGGTGGCTGGGGTGAATGTACTCCTCGGCGAGCGAGCGAGTATTCATCGTCACCGCCGGGAAAAGAACACCCTTAATGCAGTCACCTATTATGGCTATGAGCTCCAGGTCCAGAAACCCGTTTACGAGGTCCAACTCAGGGGAGTTGATACGAATCAGGTAGCGACCCCGCTCCTTGGCGTGTGGGCATGGCTCTGCAAGTTTCTCGCCACTCCGTTTTTCATCAGTTTCTTGCGCTTGCAAAAAGCGCAGATGCTGTCGTGCGCCTCCCTTCCACGTCCCTTGCAGCATGTTAGGCCAAATAACACGACATCTGCAGTCGCACCACTACGTCGGTGCCTTCGACACGCGTCTGCAATGCTGTCAGCAGGAACCACAAGAACACTCCGCGGGCAGGCATCCGGGTTTTCGCACATCCGGTGATCGCTGTCGGTGACGCCACCACCGGCTTCCGCGCCCAAGGCGGCGGCACACCGAGCGTCATCTCTGCGATCCTGCCAGAGCACGTAGTCGTCGTACATGTGCGTCGACCCTTTTCACTGCTCTTTTCCGGCCACACGTAACCACGGGGTGAGACGCCGCATCACTGGATGCCTCCTGGCTGCTAGAGTGAGACGCTTAAAGGGGAAGAGAGTGTGAGAGAGAAAAACAAAGAGAGACGCAATAAAAAAGAGATGACCACCCCCACGACAAGTCCTAGTGACGGAGAAAAAATCAGAAAAGGCAAAGAGAGAGAGACACACACACACATACGCGCCACAAGGCTGCAGCGCCCATTCCTCCTCTCCAAACGACTTTTCTGCGACACGGCATCGATCCCCCTCCTTTTCTTTCCTTCGCGAGACTTGACGCTGCTGTTAGCGTCGCTGGGGCCGTCATATGTGACTTCAGCGCAACGTTGTCTTCATGCAAAATGGAGGAGCTGCGGTCCATGTTGTGTAACTCCCCTCCCCCCTCCCAACAAAGGTCTATCGTATCTCGCCCTCTGAAAGCAGAGAGAGAGGAAGAGAGGAAGTAGGAAGTGTCTGTCGGCAGCATCTCCGTGACAGAGAAGGTACACCCTTGCATAGAAAGGCGGCAGCAGAGGTTTGGGGAGTACACGTTTCCTCTACCGCTGTAGCGCG